ATTAAGCAAAGAAGGGATAGAATTAGATCCTCACTGCCACCACGTGAAGGAGAGATTGGAGGGCTCAGTAGATGACTGTGGAGGGTTAAGATGAGAAGATGTGGCAGGGCGGGAGGGTTAAGTCAGTGGGAAGTGTGCCTCTGAATTGGAAAGGATGGACTTGCCGGTGGGCAGATGCGGGTGGGTGCCTGTCAAGGTGCGACAGTGAGGAGAGAGGGCAAGGAAGTTTACAACCCAAGGTCCTGTTTGAGCAGACAGCAAAGAAGCACTGTTTACTGAGCCACAGAGGCTGGGGGACAGATGCCGTGGGAGCCACAAGTTTGGTTTTGGCGTGCCAGCAAAGCAAGCAAAAGGGACACCCAGGAGGCAGTGGGAGGTCAGGGAGAGGCCTCTGCTGCTGTGTTTTGGTGTCCTCAGCACAGAGATGGTGTCTAGAGTTGTGGCGATGAATGGAATCACCTCGGAAGTGAATGTAGAGAGAGAAAAGTGGGCTGGAGGCGAAGCCCTGAGAAGCTAACATTCAAGGGTTGAGTGGAGGAGGCTGAGGAGGGCAGCAGCAAAGCAGAGAAGCTAAAGGGACAGTGGGTTCAGGCGGGGCCAGTGTTGAAGGCGCCAGTGCTGTGAGAGGCCCAGGGACACGAGCAGAGCAAAGAGTTCCTTTGACTCATCAATGTGACATCCTTAGTGACTTTGAGAAGGGTGGATTTGGTGTATGGTGGGTTTGGGAGCCAGAGTGGCACCGGCTGGAGAATGCATGAGAAGTGAAATGCAGAGAATTTTTCAAAGAGGTTTTGCAGTGAAGGAAAACTAATGATTTGGGATAGTAACCAGAGGGACCTGAGGTCAAGGAAGTTATTTTATTTTTAAATTGGGAGATGCAAAAGCATGTTTATGCATTGAGAGAAATGATCCAGCAGGAGGGCTGATGCTGCACGCAGGAGGAGAGAAAAATAACCTAGCTGAAAGAGCACAGCCTTTGAGCAGGTAAGCAAGGAGGGTGTCTGAGTTCCCTGCGGCTGCTGTAACACTCACCACCAACTTGGTGGCGTAAAACAACATGCATGTATCCTCCAACAGTTTCAAGGTCAGAAGTTCAAAATTAGTTTTATGGATTTCTGTCTAATTGTCAGTAGGGCTGCAAGTCCTTCCGGAGGCTCTGGGGGGAATGGTTTCCTTGCCTTCTCCTCATCAAGAGCTGAATCTCATGGCTCAGGGCACCTCCTTCCTCTTATAAGCCAGCGGGGCAGCATCTTTAAATCTTTCTCGTTTTTGCAACATTATCTCCTCTCTGCAGCCCAATTTCCCTCTTCCTCTGTCATTTGAGGACACCTGTGATAATATTTAGGCCCCATCCAGATAGCCCTGCTAATCCTCCATTTCAGCATCCCTGAACAGTCTCTTCTGCCATATAAAGTAACAATCAGAGGGTCCAGGAACCAGCCCTGGATCCCTGCGGAGGAGGCGTCATTCCGGAGGACCAGTGTTTGCTCTGCAAGGATTCTTCCTTCCTCCCTTGTAAGCATAGGGAAGACAGGGACAGTGCCTGTGTGGGGGCATGTGGGTTTGGCAGTGGAAAGATGAATGAGCTCATGCTTTTGGCTTCAGTTTTCTGGAAGAAGTACCAGGTCCAGTTGACAGCTGAGAGGATGGCACCTGATGGGGCTTGGGGGAGTGTGTGGTGTGTACAGTGGCAGCAAGGACTCAGAGAGTGAGACAGTGTTGTCTGGAGAAAATTCACCAGTTTCTGGGCGGGGCTGAATAGGGCTTATTTTCATGAATGTGAAGGAAAGTGCTGTTTGATTGTGTGGTTTTTCTCCAGCAGAGTTTGGCTATGTGGTTAAAGACACAGGGAAAGCAGGGAGAAGAGGCTCACAGTGTTTCTGGCAAGGCGGAAAGTAAAGGATGAGAGTCCATGGGGTCTGAGTGGTCAGGAGGCAGGGAAGCCATAGCTGTGTGGTGAACGAGGAAGGGCCTATGAGATGGCAGGGTCGGTAGTTCAGAGTCATGGTGAGGGAGGAGCATGGCAGAGGTAGGCTTCCTGAGCACATGAATGGCCAGGTAGGGAGGGATGCCTTTCCTTCAGATTTTGGAGCTGGTGCAGTTGCTGGTGATGACAGGTGCTTTAGGACGGAGATACAGAGGGACAGACAGATGGATCATCCACCCAGATGCTGCAGATACCAAGAATGAAGACAGAAAAGGGGTGGCCAGGAACCAAAGTCTTCAGTGAACAATGGGGAGTGATGTGGGAGACTAGGAACTGGAAGCACAGGTGTCATAACCGATGGCATCAATTTAAGGACAGCTGAGGGTTTGTAGGAGGAAGGGGAGAGATGATTTGGAAGGAGCAGTGAGGAACAAGGAAGGCCTTACCTCCTGGCTCTGCGGGATTCCTGATGTGAAAGAACACATAGCCAGCACTTGAGAGGGCTCCTAGAGCTATACTTCTATTAAAAGAAAGTGTGCAGTAAGAATTGTGTAAGGTAATCCTTTGTTGGAATTTCTTTATATATATATTTATTTATTAAATCATAACTGTGTACACTGATGCATTTATGGGGTTCAGTGTACTGCTTTGATATACAATGTGAAATGCTTACCTTCCACTGATTAACACATCCATCACAATTATACTCTTTTCTTAATAGTTATGAAATGTACCATTGCACCATGCACATTATGTGAGGTCCCCCCAAATACCCTCCCTCCTCTTCCCTTCTACTTTCTGGACTATAGTTATGTTTTACCATTCATATGAATGTATAGATGATTATATATTGATTTAATAGTAGTATTGAGTACATTGGATACCTCCTCCCCATTCGTGAAATACTTTACTAAGAAGAATATATTCCAGCTCCATCCAGGTAAACATAAAAGATGTGAAGTCTGCATCTTTTTTATGGCTGCCTAGTATTCCATGGTGTACATATCCCACAATTTGTTAATCCATTCATAGGTCAACAGGCACTTGGGCTGTTTCCATGTCTTGGCAATTATGAATTGTGCTCCAATAAACATTCTGGTGCAAATTTCTTTGCTGTAAAATGATTTTTGATCATCTAGGTATATTATATGTAGAGCAATTATAGGGTTTACTTTTAGTTCCTTGAGTATTCTCCAAACTTCTTTCCAAAAAGGTTGTATTAGCTCGTATTATCCACCAGCAGTGTAGAAGTGTTCCCTTCTCTCCACATCCATGCCATGTTAGAATTTCTTGATGGCAGAGAGGAAGGGAATGGAAAGTATGTGGTGTGGAGAAGCATAGAGATTAGCATCTGGCAACAACAAATTATTGGAGAGAATTCCTGGACTTTTAGTGGCAAATTTCACAGAGACGAGAGGCATGACAGAACCACATCACAGAAGGTCTTGAAAGGCAGCCCAAGGAATTTGTGTTTTACCCTATAGGCCAAGGCTATAGGGGCAGTGGTGGTGTGTTTGTCCAAGTTTAAGCAACAAACTGTCATGATCTAAGGTGGGCTTTAGGAAAGTTACTTTTCTAGCCATGTGAACTAAGGAAACACTTAGAAACCTACCACAATACGCCAGAGTTAGGGTCTACTCCGGGTATGAAGGCTGAGAACGGTGGAAAGAAATGATAGTTGCAAGAAACGTGGTTGTTTGGAATCTTGAGACACCAGGAACACAGGAAAAAGCTGGAGGAATGGGAGATGCCTCCCACTATTCAAGCTTACGTGGCTGCCAGAATAGGTTTCGGAGGGAAATTGATGGTTTTGGTATTTGGCAAACCATAGTTAAATGTTCACAAGTGGTTGAGACTAAGGCTGGAGCAGAACATTGACAGGTGAGGCAGTGGGCACTTACCCGTTGTTACACCAGGAATTACTATCTGGGGCTTTTTGGATTGAGGATAATCACAGACCAAGCCAGATTCCGGGGAAGCAACCTAGTGATTTTCTCTACCCGGCTTCAGATCCCCAGGGCAAGGCTGGAACTCTGACTTCCATCCGTCATAAGGGGGGTGTGTGCGTGTGTGTGCATTTGTGTGTGCCATAAGGTGCATGTGCCTGTGGGCCATAAGGTGTGCGAGTGTGCCCATAAGATGTGTGTGTGCCATACGATGCGCATGTGTATGTGTGCGTGTGTGCCATAAGGTGCGCATGTGCCATAAGGTGCGCATGTGTATGTGTGCGTGTGTGCCATAGGTGCGTGTGGGTGTGCGTGTGTGCCATAAGGTGTGCGTGGGCCCCACAGGCGCTTGAGTTCTGAGGCGCTCAGTGCAGGGAATGTCTTTCTGCTGGTCCACAATGCTGAGTTTAGCAGGAGCAGGTGTGCTGTCATTCATTTTTATAACTGGGATGAGTTGGGGCCCAGGACAACAGCTAGTTCTGCAAGGAGCCCTTCTTTTCTACAAGAGATTGATTTGACCTTCTTTCCTCGTCACCTTCCAGTTAAGGCAGGGCGGTGATAAAAGGGTTCGCTTGGGATGTGGGTTTCATCACCCCTCTAAGTAAGCTCATGCCCAGAATCACAGTTGAGGTCTGGCCAAAAATCTGACTCAGGTGTGCACCCCACCCACTTTTGCCCAATTTCCTACATTCTGCTGACTGCAGCTCTTTTCTTCCTTTGGCCCTGAAACCCCGACGTGTCTGGGCGCGCTGAGATTAACCGCTGCTGACAGTCCCCTTTGCGACTTCCCCGCCTGGCCTCTCTTTCCTCCGTCAGTGCTCGGGGTCGTTTGAGCAGAGCAGGCACCGGGGAAGGACCGCTCAGGATCCCGGGTCTGCGGAGGCGCAGGGCCCCGCGGGACAACCGCGAAGCGACGGGTCCCGAGAAGCGGGGGAGGCTGCGCTCACGGGGAGGCTCCGCCCTCTCGCTCCCTCCCTTCCCCGCCGACTCCCGCCCGGGCAGGGGAGCCAGGAGCCGGGAGCCGGAGCCGGCGCGGGCCGGAGAGGAAGGGGCGCGGCCTCTCCGGGGCGGGGCGCGGGGCGGGCAGCGGGAGGCGGTGCCGCGGAGGGGACCGGCCGCCCCGGCGAGAGCGCGCCCAGCCCCACCGCTCGGCCCTGGCCGCGCTGCTGCTGCTGCTGCTGGGCCATGGCGGCGGCCGGCGCTCGGGCGCCCGGGCCGAGGAGGCGGGGGCGGCGGCGGACGACCAGGACCCGCACGCCAAGCACCTGTACACAGCCGACATGTTCACGCATGGGATCCAGAGCGCCGCGCACTTCGTCATGTTCTTCGCGCCCTGGTAACTAGGGTGCCGGCCAGGCCCCTCTCTGTGAGCCCGGAGACGTGGGCGGCGCGGGCACGGGGCTCCGGGCCGGGGGTGCGCAGACACTGCGGGCTCCGGGCCCGGCAGCGTGTGGGCGCCGCGGGCCGGGCGCTCGGGGCTGACGTGGCGCTGGGCGGCCGGGGCGGTGCAGGAGGGGGCGGGCACTCAGGGCAAAGCCGGGGGAAGGCGGCCCCTGCCCGGCGCTTCCGACCTTTCACCCTTACCCCTTCGGAACCAGGGAGGGGGCGGTTGGGTCGTGGCCCTTTCGGGCAGCTGGAAGCCCAGATGTCACGCCGGAGGTCCCCTGCCCCGCACCCCAAACTTCCTCTGCGCCGGACGCCGCGGCCTGCAGGTCAGCCAAGACCTGGTGGGCCACGTGCGCTCACCGGGGTGGGGGGTCTTTCCTGCTGGTGGCTGGCGACAGGGGTAGGCTGTGGACGCGTATCACCTTCGTGAGGGTTTCATTGGAAAAAAAAAAAAAAGGAAAGTGTGATTTCCAATTTTGTGCGTGTTTTGTGGAGTAGGAAGGAATGGCTCAGGCAGAGCAGGGTTCCTCTGCTACCTTGGGAAGAGTGGTGCGGATTCGGGCGACCTCTACTCAGCTCAGATTAGATATGAGCTCTGCTCTGGGCAGCCCACGGGAACCCACTGCTCTCAACTTAGGACTGTGATCTGTCTGTCACCTCCTCCCCTCTGCTGCCTTGGGGCCAGGTCATTTGTAAAATGGTAGATGAGAAAAGTCGCCCTGTTCAGTAGACAATCTCCTGCTTGGTTCTCTGGATGGGTCTTTGCTGTGGGCCTCACCACTGACCCAAGACCCCTACCCTGAGAATTATTCCTGGGAAGGGCTTCCTGCCATTCACAGGCACATGTAGTGCTTTCTTGCCAGGGCCTGGATGCCCTGAGTTAGGGAAGTTCAATGTGGGCCAGAGCTGAAAGCCTAATTTTAGGGCAGATGGCAGTCTGAGATGTGAGTGGCCTGGATGTGCTTATTGCAGAATTTGGCAGAGAGAGACACACATTTGGGAAGAGGATGTAGGAAGGAACAGAAAAACGTACCTAAGAAAAATGCCCTATTCAGAAATTATGCCTTTCAAAGTAAGAGAAAGTTTTTCCTCTTTACCCCATATTCAGCCTGTTACAGTGTTTCAGCTCATTTGGAATTAAATCACCTTTGGGGGCCAGTCTGGGGTTATAGCCATCATTTATTAACAATGTATATGGAGGATATATTGTGTTTCAAGTTCTCAAACTCGAATTTTTAGTCCTACCAAGGGTATAGAAATACTTTGTAGCATAAAACAGTCAATATTAATAGTTACTCTGTGCAAAAGTATTCTCAGAATAACTATTCCAGTTAAGTACACTACTTAATTGGAGGCCATTTCAGTGGAGTAAATCTGTCTATGAGTTTTCTTTTTTCTTTATTTTTTTTTAAAGAAGAATTGACATGTACACGTGGTAAGTGCCTGCAGTGCCAATGGGGTTTGAAATTTGGAGTGTGTGCAATAAATACTAGCTCGTCCTGGGCTGAGTGAAAGAACTGGCAAGTCTGAGCACTTGGTATTCACTACGTTCCTTTTTCATTTTATGTGGCTTCTAGGCATTTAGGTGGACGCGCCCAGAAAAAGTAACCGTTTTAAGTTTTTATTTATTTGCTTCATAATAGTCCACTACAAATGTTTAAATAGAGTTATGTAGGTTTCTATGAGGGCATTTAAAAATTTATGAAGGCACTTTCAGAAAACTGCAGATAAAGCTGTAGGGCTCAGGAGTAGGCCGCCAGGGAAGGAAGGTGAGTTCTGGTGTAGAGGTCAAGTGGGAGGTCAGCAGGACTCAAGCAAGGAGAAGCCGGAGCGAGGCCTTGCAAAGTTTAATGCTGCAATCTAGTGCTGAGAGCAAGTGGTGACTCTGGGGGGTGGGGGGGGTGGGATGGGGGTCTAAGAGGGGGAATGAGGTCCCAGAATAGTTGTGAGCTGAGCGGAGCTCAGTGTCAGTGGCTGCACAGTGCTGGAAGCTCACAGGTGATTTCAGAACAGAGGCACCAGGTAACAGAAACATTGATCTGTGTTTTTGCTCTAAGCTTGGCAGCTGTAGGGTTGTCCTACTGCTGTAGGTTCTGTGCCAACATCAGGTCACAGCTTCCGTATGGCCAGTTCGTGATTCACCCTGAACCTGGTGACAGTGAGGTCAAGATTAGGACTAGTGGCTTTGCTCTATTACTTGGCCACAGGGTACCTTCTGAACTGAGCTGGCTGTGTAAGAGGCGTGCACCATAGCTGCAAGGGCCCCAAAGGGGAAGGGCTGACTAGAAGAAACATGTGGATCCATCACAGTGAGGGGTAAGGCAGTTGCACACCCAGCTTAGTGATGGTCCTGGATGGTCGGTTTAATTTGAGGCATGACCAAATTCTGCTCATTTTTAATCTCATCCCGTGTTTTCACAAGAAAACTTTTCAAGAATACAGAAGAATTTTAAAGTTTTAGAATGAACATGTCTGACCACATTCCCCTAGGATGAGAACTGCCCTTGAAAATCCATTAGGAAGGTGCTTTGTTGGAGACCACCCCACAGTGAGTCCTCACTGCCATGTTTCCTCTAGCAGTCTGGCTTCTGTGGTTATGCACCAAGTGGAACTATTAATAGTGCTTCAGATCCGTGTCTTTTGACAGGAGGGTTGCAGTTGATGTGGTGAGATGCTCACACCTTGAGAAAGAGCATGCCAGAACCAAGGCCAACTGAGGAACCAAAAATTCACATCCCCCGGTACACGCACTTCAGGGTTCTTTTTTTTTTTTTTTAATTATCTTGTTACCATCTTCTTTTCCCCCCTTTTCAAACCTCACTTTGTTCAGTCTACAGAATTTAAATCCACACATGTCATATATTCACTTAAGAAATTGCCAAGCACTTAGTACGTGCCAGGCATGTGCACAGTATAGCACAGTAACCAGAGGGTTGAGAAATGCTTGCCTTCTTGGCACTTATACCACGTACCCTTAAATACAGCACGGAGTTTCCTCTCACGATTATCTTCCAGAAAAGACGGAATCATTTTGTATGTGATTTTTATATCACATTTTTAGTGCCACCTGTAGATGCTTATTTTTGACAGAGGTCATCTGTCAGAAAAGAGAAGAAGCAAAGAGCTTCAACAGAGGTTTTATTGATAAATTATTTTGAGGGAGCACTCACAATGATAAATATTAGGTGTTTTTGTAAAGAACTTTTAAGTTTTTTTAAGAACTTATTTTTATTTATTTATATTTTGAGACAAAGTCTCAGTTGCTCTGGGGTTGAGTGCCATGGCTTTATAGCTCACAGCAACCTCAAACTCTTGGGCATAAGCAATTCTCTTGCCTCAGCCTCCCAAGTAGCTGGGACTACAGGCTCCCGCCACAATGCCCAGCTATTTTTTTTTTTTTTTTAGAGATGGGGTCTCACTCTTGCTCAGGCTGGTCTCAAATGCCTGCACTCAAGCAATCCACCTGCTTCAGCATCCCTGAATGCTAGGATTACAGGTGCATAAAGAGCCTTTAAAAGCAATATAACAGGTGGTTATATTGTAGACATCAATGTGCACTTATCAGGCAAATGAAAAAACAAACCAAAAACCCATGTCCCATGTGCCACAGTGCTACAGGTTGTACTTAAGATTCGCGACAAAGTGTCTACTGTTGTCTTATGTTAAATTCAAACACGGCACCACAGACAGCTGAAACGATGCAGGAAGGTGGTCAGCTGTGTGACTCACAGCGTAGACGCAGGGCTGGGAAGGCTGCTGTCCTGAAATGTGGAGAGTGGCAAGAAGCAGTCATCCTAATTAACATATTTACTTAAATAACGAGTGATTTCAAAATATTTGTATATCCAGAAATTGACACATAAATTAACATGTTAACTACCATGTGAGTTGTATTTAACTCATGCTGGTTTTGCACCCAGAGTCTCATGAAGCAGATAGAACTGGTAGGTAGGTGGAAGGTCCATAGCAAGGCTGCACACTGTGAAACCCCTGCACAGCGTTTTCACTGTCAATCAAAACATGGAACTTATGCACAGGCAACAATAAAAATCACAGATTTTTCATTAAATTAGAAAGGATCATTTTGTTTTCAAAGTTTTTATTTTTGTAATGAAACACTATGGCTCTGAGGAAAATAATTTTTTTTCCTAGCGTGGCACTGTGTTAATAATATGTGTTTGATTGTATCAACCCTAGAAGTTTGGGTTGTCACAAACTTTCTTTTTTTAGCTTCTCATTGGAGAAAATGTAGAGTTGATTTAATTTTGAGGTTGCCTTGTGTTTGTGGGTTTACAGCTGTATGGTAGAAGAGACCTGACTAGTCAAGAAGCGATTACAGCAGGAGTGCTAAGCTGCGCCCAGGATGGGGGCAGGGGAGCTTTCCAGAAGGGGAGAAGAGAATGGATGCCAAGCACCTGGGGAGTCAGGGCAGATGTGGGGGGGAGTGAAGGCCAAACTTACCCTGGACAAATAGGAATTAATTATCCAAGTGTGTCTTGAGTCCCAGGGACGAGCCGAGCTCATGTCCTTTCAGAAAACTACAGATACTGCAGTAGGCTGGCAGGGAAGGAGGGTGAGTTCTGGAGGACAGGTCAAGTGGGAGGTCAGCAGGGCCCCTGCCGAGGGGGGATCTGGGACATTGTCTCACACTGAGAGCAGTAGGGCAGCTCTGACCAGGTTTAACCAGGGGAATGAGGTCCCAGAGTAGTTGTGAGAGGCCCATATCTTACGGGCCAGTCACCCAGCGATCTGGTGTGCTTGCTGCTCAGTGTGCTTGGCCCTCTTGCCTTCCAGGTGTGGACACTGTCAGCGGCTACAGCCGACTTGGAATGACCTGGGAGACAAGTATAACAGCATGGAAGATGCCAAGGTCTATGTGGCTAAAGTGGACTGCACGGCCAACTCAGACGTGTGCTCCGCCCAGGGGGTGCGAGGATACCCCACGTAAGTCGGAAGGAAGGTTGCACGGTTTCCTGGTTGTTCCAAAGAAAGTCCAAGTTAAACTTTTGGCAAACTCTTTTGTAGCTCTGAGGAGATGCTAAGCTTAGGCAGTCTCTGTTGTTGGGGAAAAATTATATTTAATGCTCTGGCTTATTTATTTATTTGTTTATTTTTTGAGGCAGAATCTCACTTGGTCGTCCTTTGACCAAGGGTGCTGTGGTGTCTTAACTCACAGCAACCTCAAACTCCTGAGTTCAAGTGATCCTCTTGTCCCAGCCTCCCAAGTAGCTGGGACTATAGGCATCTGCCACAAAGCCCAGCTCTTTTTTAGAGACAGGGTCTCACTCTGGCTCAGGCTGGTCTCAAACCTGCGAGCTCAGGCAATCCACCCGCCTCAGCCTCCCAAGTGCTGGGATTATAGGTGTGAGCCACTGCGCCCGGCCCTCCCTGGCTATTTTAGATGCCCTTTCTATTTTGTTGGGAAGAAAAGCCTTTAATCAGTGTTGAATTTTCCTGTGTATAAGAGAATGTGTTTGCAAGACAAAAGTGGCGGCCCCTGTGAGATTCTGCCACATCGATGTTCACCAGTGTGTGCACAGACTTTGTGCTCAATTTGGTTTGATTTTACGGTGACTCTCCTATTAAACACACTTCCTAGAGTTATTTCCCAGGTGACAAGGGCTGTCTCTCTTGAAAAGAAGGGTAACCAACCAGAGTATAGCAGTTCTGACAAGTGACACTGCTTACTCCCTTGACTGTTAAGAGATTTTTTTTGGTTATACACAACAGAAATTGAAACTGGCATATTAAACAAAAGAGGAGATTAATTAAAAACCTATATAGGAAGTTCTAAGTCTCAGCTCCAGTGACTTGATTTTTTCACTGTGTAGCTCTGTCCCCATGGAAGGATTTGAGCCCGCCACTTACTGGCCCTGCTTGGACAACATGTCCATTCTAGGAATGGTGGTTATGGCTGGAGAGGCAGGAAGATGCATCCCCATTCAGTCCCCATGGCTAGTGTTAGAGAGGAAAATAGTTATCTGAAAAAAGGAAGATGTTATTTCTTTTTTTTTGAGACAGAGCCTCAAGCTGTCCCCCTGGGTCGAGTGCCGTGGCATTACAGCTCACAGCAACCTCCAATTCCTGGGCTCAAGCGAGTCTCCTGCCTCCGCCTCCCAAGTAGCTGGGACCACAGGCGCCCGCCACAACGCCCGGCTATTTTTTGGTTGCAGCCGTTGTTGTTTGGCGGGTCCGGGCTGGGGATTCGAACCTGCCACCTTAGGTGTCCGTGGCTGGCGCCTTAGCTGGTTGAGCTACAGGCGCCGAGCCTGGAAGATGTTATTTCTAGGGGGGTGGGGGTGTTTGTGTGTGTTGGCCACTGCAGTTTCATAAATATTTGTCAAGCGAGGAATGCAGTCAATTCTGTGTACAGGATATACAGTAGAACCTCCATAGCTGACCACCTCCCTACTTTGACCCCTCCTTAAGTTGACCTAATTTCCATAGATTGGACATGTACCACATGTACGTATCAGCGCAGTAGGCCTGCTTCTTTATATGACCACCTCTGTAAGTTGACCAGTTTGTTACTGTCCCTTGGGTGGTCCGCTTATAGAGGTGTTACTGTAATTCATTATTAATTGGGTAATATAGGGGGGCCATTGATTATGCATAAAATCAAAGCTTATCTTTAGACCTGAAAGGCAGTATGGAAAACTTGAACCTAGAAGCCTGGGGTGAATCCCAGCTCTACTATTTACTACCTCCAGCTCTGGCTGCATCATTTGACCTCTGAGTCTAAGTAGCAGGGTCGTACCCACCTACCCGATAACATTGTTACAGGAGTTACACAGAATAGCATGTGTGCAACCATCAATCTGAGCACACCCAATAAAGAGTAGGGTTTCCCCTACATTTGGAAATTTAGCATTTCCATAAAGGATCCTAGTACTCTTCTTGGTCTATGGTGGCAGCTTGCTAATCTAAGTGCCATAATTTGAGTCTACATCAAATCAGATAAGTGGGGATAAAATTTCCTACAATTTTATGTGTAATTATATACAGGCATTCACTGTCCTGTATGCTTTACAGCAATGCCTGTAAAGTATGTGTCAAGAGTGTCCCAGAGAAGCAGGTGGCAAGGGTAAGATAAGGAAGAAGAGGCTTACCTGTTAAAAGTCTGTTACTTTAAAATGCAGGAGCAGCAAAGATGGGTTGGCTGTTCTGTCTTTCTGTCCTTCAACTGCTAACCTTTTGTGGCCATGGGGTTGTATGTATTATAAACCATGCCCCAGGGAAGGTGAAACAGAAGCTATAATATGGCTGAGAAAGGCATTCATTATGGGGATTTAGAGAGGGAAATGAGGGGTTCCACCTGGACCTAGTTGTAACAACTGTCTGGCTGTAACATCAGCCATTCTGTGTGTGGTATTCACAAACTTAAAAAGATCCATGTTGAATCATTTGTCTCGATTTTTAGGTAGAAGATTTGGTCTCCCGAAGTAAGCTATTCACTGGTTTTATGTTGTTTAAAAGGATGAAACTCAGGCTATGTGTGAGGACTCCTTTAATCCTAGCACTTTGGGAGGCCAAGTCAGGAGGAGTTTGAGACCAGACTGGGCAAGGTAGTGAGACCCCATGTCTAAAAAAAATTTTTAAAAGCATGACTCAAGCATGATGGTGTGTGCTCTAGCTACTTGGGTGTCTGAGGCAGGAGGATTGCTTGAGTTCAGGAGGTCAAGGTTACGGTGAGCTAGGATTAGGCCACTGCACTCCAGCCTATGTAACAGAATGAGATCCTATCTCAATAATAATAATAATAAATAAACATGAATAATAAAACAAGGCCAGGCCCAGTGGCTGGGCCTGTAATCCCAGAACTTGGGAGGCCGAGGCGGGCAGATTGCTTGAGCTCACAGGTTCAAGACCAGCCTGAGCCAGAACGAGATCCCATCTCTAAAAAATGGCTGGGCATTGTGGCAGGCTTCTGTAGTCCCAGCTCCTTGGGAGGCTGAGGTTAGAGAATCGCTTAAGCTCAAGAGTTTGATGTTGCTGTGAGCTGTGATGCCACGGCACTCTACCCAGGGTCTTAAAAAACAAAAATACAAAAGCCAAAAATAAGCTCACACTACTGTCTGAACACAGGATGGCAGGGAACCTCTGTGACCATCATAACCCTGCCGAAGTTCCAGGAACATATTTTTTACCCATAGAATCCAGGCAGTGAAGTATATTGCATAAAATGTGGTCATACTGGAGCAATCGTAGATTTATCCACGGGCACTTTTCTTCCTCTAAAACAGTTCTCCTCACATGGAATCATGGCGAGACCTGAGTCAGATGACGACTGTAAGTGTGTGAACTGGGCTGTGCGTCAGTAGATCGGCTTTTCTGCTGTTCTTCCCCTGCGAGTTTAATTGGAGCAAAGGATTGGAGAGGGAGTCAGCGGTGGCTGACTGTGCTCAGGGAAGTGTTTTGAGGTCTTCCTGTTGAACCAGTAAAGAATTGTTACGTCTGGGAAACTATGAGCAGGGCAGGACTGAGGGAGGGAAGCCACCTATATAGTTTTACTAGGGCTGCTATACCAGAGTACCACACAGCCGAGTGGCCGACACAATAGGCAGGTATTGTCCCACAGTCCTGAAGGCTGGAAGTCTAAAAGCAAGGAGTTGGCAACCTGTAGGGAAATCCTTCCTTGCCGCCTCCTGGCTTCTGATGGTGGGCTGGCAACCTCTGGCTGGTAGGTAGTCATGCCAATCCTCTGTCTTCATGTGGCCCCCCCCTCCCTGCATGCATGACTGTGTCCAAATTTCCTCTGTTTATAAGGACAGATGCTAGTCGTGTTGGATTAGGGCCTACCCTAATGACCTCACTTTAATTGGATTACTTCTGTAAAGACCCTGTTTCTAAATAAGGTCTCACTGAGGTTGGGGGTTAGGAAATCAACAAATCTGTGTTGGAGAACTCGATTCAACTCATAACACTGTCTGTAGTAGTAGAATGTTCATCTTGCTGTTTTCCAAAGTGACAGCTAAGTGAGGATTTTTTCCCCCTGAACTCTCCTTGAAAGAGTCTCCAGGAGATATAAATGCCTCTGGGGAGATTTGGCAATAGTGGAAACGTGTGTGGCTATAGTGTGGCCCAATTTCCATCACCTCCAGTGACAGTGAGAATTGGAGCCAGATACCCCAGACCAACTGGGAGGTTTGTAACAGAAGCTCCAGTTCTATTCCTGGGCTCTGTGAGTTTATTCATTAAAGAAGAATCTCAAGACTTGGGCAGGTTCTAGGTAAAGCTAACATACCTATTTTAATTTAAATGCCTAATTTAGCCAATTTACTGGTTTTCTCATGTGGCTGTGAGACTTCATTTTAAGGCTTTCATTTTAAAGGGAGTTGGCTATTTCTTATAGACTGCATATTTGTATCCCCCATAATTCATACATTAAAATCCTAATCTCCCATGTGATGGTTTTAGGAGCTGGGGCCTTTGGGAGGGGATTGGGTCATGAGGGTGAAACCTCTTGAGTTGGGATTAAGAATCTTATAAGCTCTCCTGCCCCTTCTGCCATGGGAGGACACAAGTCAGAGGCATCATCTAGAAAGCCCTCACCAGACTCTCAGTCTCCTGGCACCTTGATCTCGGATCCAAGTCCCCAGAACTATGAGATATAAATTTCTGTGTATAAGCTACCCAGTTTATGGTATTCTGTTATAGCTTTTGAGCTAAGACACTACTCAAACCTTCAAATGTGATTTTTGCATATCTTGGCTTCTTATAGTTCTGATACTGAATATTGGGCATCTAATCACAAAATCCACATCCACATTGTAGATGTATTAGGGGTGTCTTAAATGAATGGGCTTGCCAACAAGTACACGTGCCAGTCTTTTATTTTTTTTTTTTTTTTGAGACAGAGTCTCATGCTGTCACCTGGTTAGAATGTTGTGGCTTCATAGCTCACAACAACCTCAAACTCCTGGGTTCAAGCGATCCTCTTGACTCAGCCTCTCGAGTAGCTGGGACTACAGGTGCCTGCCACAATGCTTGCCTAGTTTTTCTATTTTTGGTAGAGACAAGGTCTCATACTTGCTCAGCCTGGCCTTGAACTCCTGAGCTCAAGCAATGCTCCTACCTCAACCTCTCAGAGTGCTAGGATTTCAGGTGTGAGCCACCGCACCCGACCTCATGTGCCAGTCTTTATTGCTCACTTCTCTTCTGTCAATAGCCACATTTTCCCCTATCCTTGTCGCCTTTTATTAAGTTTTATCTGGAGTATGTTTTCCCACTACGAGTGGAGTGATCTAGGACCTAGGAGTCTTAGCTCCATCCTCTGATCACATCTTTCACTTGTCTTTAAAGGAACTGCTTCTGTATCCTCTCCTCAGATTCCTTCTGAGGCCAACATATAATACGTAGAAAAAAGAAGCATCCCTCTCTATGGGGATGTGAATGGGCTGCACCTCAACCAGCGTCAAGAATGTTCTTGTTCAAGTTAGAAACTTGAATTCTCGGAGTAACTGGATAGCCCTGCTTTGCAAGGGTCAAGTACCTGCCGAGATGGCCTGGAAGGACACATTTATTGCAAAGAAGTGCTGTATCTAAACAGCACACACACATATCCACACAACTGCTGAAGCCTGGGAAAGATATACCTGGCAGGGAAAAGCCCTAGAGTTCTCCAGACAAGCACGCATGCTTGCCCCTTGGGGTTTAAGTCACAGCATGAGGCTGGAAGTTTTCACCTCAGTTTTATTTTACTTGAATAAAATAAGAAATGTCTAAAACTTTGGGCTTAAGGGGGTTTATTATCTCCCAGGACGTTATTTTCGTTTCTTTTTCCGGTTTTATCAGACAGTGGCAGATATGTGCCTGGCTGTAGCTCCCTGACAGCTCGTTTTCTGATTGTTTCACGAAATGACTTTGCTCTCTGATAAGATAGTGCTCTGAACTCAGAGCAGTTGGAAGGGCTTGAAATTTTTGCTCTGTGTAATCCTTTGTTATTCTTTCAGCTTAAAGTTTTTCAAGCCTGGCCAAGAAGCTGTGAAGTACCAGGGTCCACGGGACTTCCAGACACTGGAAAACTGGATGCTGCAGACACTGAATGAGGAGCCCACGGTAAGCACACCCCCTCTTCCTTCCTTCATTTGGGGGTAATATGTAATTGGGCAGAGGCCAGACCAAGCGAATAATTAAGGCTGCTGTTTTCAAGCAACTCTTTACTTTTGTAGAGCTCATTGATGTAAGTAAAGATTCACTTTTAAAAAGGCCTTTTTTTTTTTTCATGGTGGAAAAATTAATATTTTTTTTATTAGATCATTACTGTGTACTTTACTGCATTTATGGGGTACAATGTGTTGATTTTATATACAATTTGGAATGTTTACATTGAACTGGTAATCGGTGGAACCTCACCCACTGTGCATATTGCAAGAGAGCATGTCACATACATTGATAGTTGAGTAGAAATGTCTGAACACAACAGTTAAATAAG